TCTCGTGTGTGTGTGTGTGTGTGTGTGTGTGTGTGTGTGTGTGTGTGTGTGTGTGTGTGTGTGTGTGTGTGTGTGTGTGTGTGTGTGTGTGTGTGTGTGTGTGTGTGTGTGTGTGTGTGTGTGTGTGTGTGTGTGTGTGTGTGTGTTTTGTTCATTTGTGCATGCATGTGTATTCTGGAAAAGAGAAACTGCTTTGTACAAAGCCTGCTTTAAAATGGATGAAAATTTCTGGCATGAATTAAATTATAATGTAAAGGATTCAAATGTAACATGATCTAAACTTATGTTCCAGTGTTATTTTCATACAGGCAGCTAATTTGAGGTTTTTGAATATAGAAATGAGAAGGCAAAATTAAGATATTTACTGATCTTATCAATAATCTTTATATTCTATGGAGTGGTGTTAAATGCACACATGCAGTATGTATTTATGCATGTTCCATCAAACCAAACATAACAATCTCAGTTTGTAATTCACCCTTGAAATTAAATTATAATGTAAAGGATTCAAGAAACATTTGTAGCCTTTGAAGTATCACATAGCAAGAAGTCAATAAATAATAATGATAGGATCCTGAGCTCTGTTGATACTATTCCTGGAATATCAGAATGGACTGGGGGGAAATTTAATCACCTTAATAACTCAGCTGTGATGCAGTTTCAAATATTCAAATGTAACATGATCTAAACTTATGTTCCAGTGTTATTTTCATACAGGCAGCTAATTTGAGGTTTTTGAATATAGAAATGAGAAGGCAATATATGTAAAGGATTCAAGAAACATTTGTAGCCTTTGAAGTATCACATAGCAAGAAGTCAATAAATAATAATGATAGGATCCTGAGCTCTGTTGATACTATTCCTGGAATATCAGAATGGACTGGGGGGAAATTTAATCACCTTAATAACTCAGCTGTGATGCAGTTTCAAATATTCAAATGTAACATGATCTAAACTTATGTTCCAGTGTTATTTTCATACAGGCAGCTAATTTGAGGTTTTTGAATATAGAAATGAGAAGGCAAAATTAAGATATTTACTGATCTTATCAATAATCTTTATATTCTATGGAGTGGTGTTAAATGCACACATGCAGTATGTATTTATGCATGTTCCATCAAACCAAACATAACAATCTCAGTTTGTAATTCACCCTTGAAATTAAATTATATTATGAAGAAAATATTAAATAACATTACTGCATACAGAATGCTGTTCATTTGGAAGTGTTTGGTTATATTTGGTATTTTGACTTTTTTATTAAATTATAGGACGTGGTGCTTCATGATGTTACTGTTGACTGGCTAAATTATGCAATAATAAAGGCTTTGGCAATGCCAGGACTTTGGAATAAAATGGTATTTATTTATTTATCTATTTAAAAGATTTTATTGTATTTTCATTTGACTAGGTTAAGAATTGTTAATCATATATATTTATTTGAAGTAATGTGCTGTATGGGACTACACAGACTTTTCTCTATTTGGATTTAATACATGGGTAGGTATTTTTACCAGTTCATGTCCAGAAGCAACAGTGAGAGTAAAAGTGCATGTATGTGCTTAGTCTTTCCCTTTCTTGAACCCTTTGTATAAAATGCTTAACCCTGCTTGCTCTAGCCAGTTTGCCTGCCCTGCCTACCTTCTTTGGTATGTGTAGGGATGCATGTTACTGGACTGGGTGTAGTGATTGCAGTTTTTCTTTATACTTTTATATTAAATGTGAATATCAAGAAACCAGAACCAAGAACTGGGTGACAGTGTTTGCTTCATTAAATACATCTTTCATTCCAGCACATCTCCTGTGCATTCTCCGATGAACAGAGTGGGCAGTTTTCTAATGACTGGAAGGTCTAAATATGGAAAATATACAGTATGCTAAAAAGTAAAACACCTTTATAAAGAAAACAGGCAATATTACAAATAGCCTCCAAAGAAAAGGGGGACAGAAAAATGTTTTATCCATTTACAACTGAAATTATTCATAGTTAAAAATAGCCATTATTATACTTTATCATATTTAAAGCTCTGAGACACTCTTTTTGTCATGACTTGCAATGTGTTTCAGTTCAGGTTGCCTCTGGACTGGTATAAAACAATGAAAGGTCTAAACTTTAGGGCCACCTTGGAACATGGCAGTGTGCAACCATTGCAATTGTTTTTGTGCCCTCTTTTTAACAATTACATCTAGGTTTATAGATTCGATACAGATATGTAAAATAATGAGTCCTTTGTGCTATTTTTTTCATGGTTCAAAGTCCACATGATAACATAAGGGCTAAAACTGATTGGAAAGATAGCTATTCTTAGCATGGCATAATTTATTTATTTATTGAAAATTTTCTGCTGTATCAATTTAAGGTCATTAGTAGTGTATTTAAAATATAGTGATAGGGTTGGGCTCGGGGGTAAAGTTCCTGGGTGAGGAAGTTTTTTGATTAAGGTTAATGGTTAAAACAAACAAATGTGGTAGACATCAAAGGTCATACATAATTATGATAAAGTAGAATGGCAAAAAGGGTAAAAGTGATTTAGCAATTAGGATAAGTGGACAGAAGGCAATGAAGAAGAGAAAGAAAAGGAAAGGGGTAGAAGAAAAAAAAACATGTAAAATTAGATGTGGCAAGGGCAGAGATCCGAGGTAGGAGGGATCTTCTACATTAGGCTGTCTCCGTCTCCTAAGCCTCCCCCCAAATACAACGAGGGGTTGGCACGGAGGCAAAGGATTATTTTTTAAGAATGTAGTGTTCAGTATTTTTTTTTTTTTTTTTTTTTTTTTTTAATATATTCTTTATGTGAGAAGTAGCTGATATTTAGATTTTTTTTATAAAACATACAATTTTGTTTGCTAAAGCCAAAGGAACATGCATCACAGCAACAGAGAAAGGAGAAAACTAAGATGACAACTGCTACTTTCATTTCTCATGAAACTAATCATGAATTCCATATTGGTTCAGTCAGATTAATGTGGAGCTAGCATCTGTGATTTGTACGTAACAAAATGGCTTCCACTGTAATGTACTAAGAAACAGTCCCATAGAAGATCTGTAGTAGCTATTTTTAAAAAGTTTAACTTATAATGTTACTCCTTTTTTTATTATAATTATTATTATTGTCATCATCATCATTATCTGGTCTCATTCATATCGTATTCCTCTTGAGACGAGTTTTCTGAGAACGACTTGGACCCAAAATATAAAATATGGCTGTCGTATCATGATCCAAAGTTGTAGAACCCCTTCCTCTCTTGCCCCTCACACCAGTCTGTACAATGGATTATATGAGGTTGGATGGTTGGCAAGGAAGGGTCTGTGAAGAGGGGTAGTCTAGTGAGATCAAGCTCACAGTGCATTCACTATACCATATGAATTTACTACCTCATTGTCACTTCATAAATGGAACTTTGGTTTATGTAACTGATAGTAAATGTTAAGGTGGCAGCATTAATATATTTTTTAACGTTCCAGGTGTTTTATATCATACACTTGCAGTCTTGAAACAAGAAGTCAATTAAGCAGCTATTTGCATGTTCAGCCATCCTAAACTACCACACTCAGGTTGGTAGAAAAATTCCTGGGCTACCCTGGACAGAGGAGGAGAGGGTTCAGAAACTTTTGGTCATGAAAGTACCGTATGGAACTTTGTATTTAAAACATATGACAAGTGTACTAGCATCAACCTTGAACAGTAAACTGGGAAGTGAATGTCCTTCTGTAAAGAGAAAAAAATTTGGAGAATTAAGGTTGTTCAATTAAACATCTTTGAAAAATTTCCATTACAGCCTGAACTTTGTCTTTGAACTTTAGCATATTTGTATACTTAAGAGAAAACTCTGCCAATAGTAATAGTATATGTTAATATAGTAACGGCATATATATCACACATTAACAGTGAAATGATAGGCATAGTTGGTATCAATTGCCAATAAGAAAAACATTGGTCTCCGTAACATGCAGTAGTCCATTACTATATACAATAACATTCACACTTAAGTATTTTCTGTGACTAGATTATGTGACTCTTTATTAGCAGACTGCATAAGTATGACTTTTTTCCTCATTTAACTGTTTGTACTTGGGACAGGCTTAAACTATTAAAGGACTGAATATGACATATTAATTAGAAAATTACTTTTTGTTGGTCAAACCAAAAGAAAAGGAAGATAGCTGGCTAAAGCCTTGTCTCGACATTTGGGCATGCCTGGCAGGTAGTAGTGTAAAGTCCATAAAGCAAAATCAATAGACAATGGCTGAATGGCACTCGGATTACCAACTGCTAGTTATGTCTGGCCACTCATCCATTCTGCCATGCCAAATATATTTGCCTGGTGCCTGGTTGTGTGGTTGTGACAAATAGCTATACGATAATACAAGAAAAGTGTGTACTGTGATGAAAAAAAAAAGTAAGGGATTGGTGTCATTAATCTGCAAATGTTTATAATGGGTTACTTACCTATAGATTTGCTAAAGCATCTGAAAATTTGCTTTAAAATGAAAAGCTCTGAAGAAAAATTGTATCCTCAGGCTTCAGTTTAACCCATTGCCACCGGGGAAAATGAACAAAAAATGGGGAAAATACTGTACTCATTTTTTATATTTTTGTAAAATATCTCTGTACATAGATGGCTCTGCTAGTCCTGATTTCACCTTTCCTTAAATTGGCGGGAAAAAACGTATTCTTACTAGTGCTATAAATATAGATGGTATTATTATTAACAGCAAATTAGGATAACGTTAAATATTTTCGTAAATCGATGAAAAGGGTGAACGGGCGAGACAGGCAGTTCTCGTAATTTTCTCAATGGTGACTCAGTACATGTGTAGCCATCTATGTGTAAAAACAATCAAACAAGTCGTCTCACAGTGGGCATGGCATGTACATACATGCCATCCCCAGTGGCACTGGGCTAATAAAAACAAGTGAATTGTTTAAGTCTTCCATATGCTGACATTATATAACAATGCAATGTGTTATATTTAAAGAAAAACATTTTATCTCTTA